CAACTGGTCTGGTGATGTGTCCCAAGTGCGCCTACACTACAAGGAGTGCTGTGTTTCATCAATATGACATTCTCACAGTGACTGCAGAGTTGTGTGGACTATCTGCCACACCCGAATACTCACTGCCTTCAGGTCCCCAGTTAAATGCACTGAGTTAGTGCTCCCCACACTGACTGTGCCCCACAGGCCACTGTGCCTTCACATCAAGACCTACCCTGGGTTCTCATGATTTAATCCATGGAGGAAGAAAATCATAAATCAACTGCATCTCTCAGAGCTGGCAATTCTGGCTTTATTATTATCTCCGGTTGTGCAAGACCATGAACTCTGCCAACAACACAAGCTGTCGTCACTAACTTCAATCAGAAAAAGGCATTCCGCTGAGACTTTCAGCCACCACAACCAGCTGTTTTGTTCTCAAAATAGTTAAGTTCATTCGCTGGGCTCTTTTTTTGGACTGACATTTTTGTATTTCAAAAAGTATTTCTAAAAAGCCAGGTAAATGTGCCTCTATTTTTCAACAAGAAGTCTGTTCAATACATAATCTTTTAAAAAAATATCCATAAACATCAGGGCTTGGTAACATAGAGAAAGTAACTTGTCTTGCAGGACTCTCCCCTCCCTCTCCCACCAATTCACAAAGGAGAGCAGCTAACTGGACATGTCAAAGGCATCAACCAATTCTAGTTATTTTTAAGAACCTCTCAAAGATGGTGCCACGATGGATGCCTTCTGACTGGAGGAGAGCTACAAATCCAAACTGCTATCTAGGAAGATAAAGATGGCATGATGAGTTGTTAGGATGAGTGGGTTTTTGCTGAAAAGGACCAATTAAAAATACAAGGCTTCCACAACTCAGGTATCAATGCCTGGTTCAGGAATTACAAAGTAAAAAGCTAGGGAAAGAGAGCTCCTCAGGGTGGAAAGCTTCAGAGCCTTTTGCAGCAGGAGGACACTCTGACCATGACCCCACCTTCACAGTGCATGTGGCTGGAGAAAACAATGGGATAAGAGGAAGGAAATTCTCTGGGAAAGCTGGAGGGTGCAGAGGGAGGGGACACCATGAATTCATTAAGTCTTGGCAAGTGAGTGTGAGGCTATTATGGATTGAAAGATGGCAGTGAACACACAGATAGAGATGCCCGGCCTGTGACCCTAACCTTGAGTCTACAGCTGACAAAAAGTCAAGCTGATATCTGTTGATTCCAGATAACCACAAGGATCCCCTTGTCCATGGAGGCCACAGTTCTCTCCACAATACAGCAGAGGCCAGAGGTGAGGGCAGTCATGTGGTTATCTCAGCCTCAGGGATGTCTAGCCAGCAGAACAGGAGGAGTGGGGAGACCAGCATTCCAGCCCCAGCTCTGCCTCTGACCCTTAACCCCAAGTACCATCTCTGCTTATAATGGTCACATGAAGGGACACAGAATCAAAGTATTCTGAATAGAATAAAATGTCACATTTGTAGAGTTTTTTAAGTGCCAGTCATGTTTTATGAGTATGAACTCATTGTAGTACCCCAAAACAAGTAAACAGAGCACTAAGATTATCTTTAACAACCCACACAATTAATCTTAAAATCTTTAAAATTGTTGGAACTCCTATATCTCTTTCAAATATCTTCAAAGACAGCTAAGAGAATCTAAAATAAGTCTTCACCAGATTTATCTGATGGATCTACATAAAAAGCAGCTAACATTTACTGAACAGTCACCACAGAACATGCAAAGACGGCTCTAAGCACTTAGCTCACTTAACTCTCACAACACTGGGGGCGGGGGATGGGTAGAGGGGTGGTTATCATTCCCAGATAAGGAAAGAGGTGGAGAGAGGATAAGTGACTGGCCCAAGGCCCCTACAGCCAGAACACACAGGACTGGGCTCCAGAAGGCCCCTCACAGCCTGCTCACTTTCAAGCATTAGACGGCCACTCATCAGAAACTATGCACACATCATGAGCATAACCCAGGGGGAGTCAAGGAATAGAGAGCAGCAGAGCTGTCCTCCTGTGGTCCCAGCACAGCTAGGCAGTGTGAGCTAGCTAGGTGTGCCTCAGGCAGATATGGGGAGAACAGAGATGGGGGAGGAAAAGAAAGCAGAGACTCAGGCAAGGGGCAGGCAACAAGGCTGGACCTACGACACAGGAGAGAAACCCCACCCCAGACTGAGGTGCCATCTCCGCTTTACAATGTCTAGGCTTCTTCCACGGCACTCTTTTATCACCTGTCAGCCTTGCCTCGTCTACAGGATCTGCAGCCACCCTCCCCGGCAAGCCCAGTGACCAGAAGGTGCGCTGACAGAGGCTGGCTTTTACCATCCCAGTACCTCATGAAGATCAGAGAAAAGCCCAGGAGGTGAAAGCGACACAGGAAATGAGGGAAGACGTCCTGACGGGCACAACCCACACCCTTGAGGAGGAAGCTACATATATACCCTCCCTAAGAAAAGGTCAAAAGGAGCGCCTACAGGCGGGTGACTTCTGTGATCCTGAAACTTAGGGCACTGCACTGTTTTAGAGCAAACTTCAACAGAGATGTACTTACTGTGGCACAGAAAATTATAAAGCTAAACAATACAAAGCAATTTGATCACTCTTCAATTCAGCATCAGAAAATGCAGAGTTGGAGCTGGGAGAAAGATGGGTGAACAAACTCAGTGGCTGGGGAGGAAAGCAGCTCCTGGGTCCACCTGAGTCCTCATCAAACATCACAAAGTAACACAAATGTCAGGGGGACGTTCATCTGCAGCACACTGCGCTCCCCCGCACGCCCCCTTCCTTGTTCTAACAGCCTAAGGCGCTCTCCCCAGGAGTAATGTGCACTTTTTTATTTTTAGAGAGACCAAAAAAAAAAGCTTTAGGTGAGAAGAACCCAGCCATTCCCAGGGAGCCTGCACACCAGTTAGCAGTGAAAGCTACCAGCTCTCTGGACTCCTCAAATGAAAAAAAGCAATGGTCCAAGCAAAGCTTAGAAAGAACTCATTCTATAAACTAATGAAATGCATGGTCGCTTTCTTCCCTTTTTCCCTCCTTATAATGCAAAAAACAACCTGTTCCACACTCAAGGGTCATTTAATGCTATCAGCAGCCTCTCAGCTGGCCTAAGTATCTGGCTGAGCATAAATTAGTCATCAGAACCATGACAGATGTGTATAATGGGCAAATACACAAACAAGTTAACCTTACTTAAATATTAACCTGCAGTGTAAGGGATTTTTTTCTCTTAATTTAAAACAAACAAAAGAAGTATCAGGCAAAGTAGATACTCTTGGAGGATACAAATGTACAAATGGCCTGTGCTCTGATCAAATGTAATTAAGCACAGACCTCACTTCTCTTAAATTGCTTAATTGCTTGAGAAATGTCAGGCTCTGACAAAATTCATTTAGATTTTTTTCACCTTACTCAGTATGAACTGGAACATATGGCAAAATGACAAGTTCTTTAAAAATCAAAATTGTAAACAGAACTACATCTTGATTAAAATGAAAACTACTTGCTAAAGAGTTCAGGAGAGTGAAGATAAATGCGTGACTTACATGCTAGTTTGTGCTTCTAGTTTGTGTTTTTAAGGCTTTACTGATGATTTGCAATGTGGAGATGATAAAAAGTGCCCTCACTCTTTTCAGAGGTCCCTGAACAAACAAACCGTAGTATCAACTGGCATTTGCATTCAAGATTAAACAAGACGGAAGAGAACCATGACCAATATTCTCTATCTATTACAGACCTAGCTCGGCAGCAATGATCAGAGGTAGGAGTGCATGTAAAAGGATATGGGTACCAGCAAAGCGGAGAGTAACTGTAAGGCACTAACATTCTATGAGCTCTTATTAGGTGCCAGACACCGTGCTAAGAGCTTGACACGGGCTAATTCATTCAATCCTCTCCATACTCCTAACAAGGCTAGGACTACTATTTAGAGATGAGTAAACTGAGGCACAGAGGTTAGTAATTCCCATGTTAATACAGCCAACATGAGGCAGAGCCAACATATGAGCCATCCAATCCCCCATCCTGAACTGGAGCCAATCTATATTCAAACACATCAACTTGTCAGTGGCACTCAATACAAAACAGATTTGCCCTGTGCCAAAAGTCGTGGGTCAAAGAGCATAATGCATGAGGTGATAACGCCGAGAGCTGCATGCTGCAGGGCAATGCCAATCAGATCAGCTAACCCACTGTAAACATCACTGAAACCAACCAGCTGGCTGACAGTGGTACACAGAGATACTTTGCAAGAGAGTATGATTCCCCCCACAGGATAAGAGTTGTCACCTAAAGTAGCTGAGGCTCTTTTAAACCTTGTTATTACTTGTTAAACTAGTTAACCTTGTTAAAACTACCCCTTATGACTATTTAGATTTCCAGTCATTATCAACTTCTGCAGTAAGAGTTCCAGTAACAGTAACTCTCTTTCTCCACCATAAGTTTAAAAAGGCACTCCTTGGCTCAACTTTGATCCACATGTCTGTGTTCCCATCAATGTCAATCATTTCTCCTCTCTTTCTTTCTCAGATGAAAGCTCCAGGGCCATACCCATGATTTAGGTACTACCCTGTGCCACTTCACGCAACACAGTGCCCTTTTTTTATGGTATCCAATGGAAACAGCATTTCAAGAACTGAGCAATCTGATTTTGTACAAAAGCTAAGGTGATGCTTTCTACTTAGTTTCGAATCCTCTTCCACAGATGTCTTCAAGGTATCACCCACAATAGTTTCTAGACTGATCTCCTATATTGCTATTGGAGGCTTAAGGCTCTAATATATGGTCATCAAGATGTTGTGTGCACATGTTTTTAAACAAATACAATTATTTTATACCTGCCCACCACAATCTCACTCTCACAGCCTTGGGAGATTTTGGTGCAGCAGTGGGATACAAGTGCGCTCAAGTCAAACTTTCCCTGAGTATTATGTACTATAATACATGAAACTTTCAGGGTAAATGGCCTTACTCCTCCTCCTGTATAACATAGATCATGGGGATACCATACCTAGCAGCCAGAGCATCCACACAACAAAATGGGTAGTATATGTCCAAAAACATCACCTCAGAAGAGAGACATGGGAGACTGTAAGAAGTCAAACAGATAACGGTTAATGAAATATAGATATTAGGAGAAAATGCAATCTAATATGTTGTAAAAAAAAAATTTGCAGGGAGGAGAAATTAAGATACATTGTAATAGTAAAACCCTTTTTTTAAAGAATGCATGGAAGTGGGGATTAGGTTGGAAAGACTAAAAATATTCAACTCTTTTATGACTGCAGCCCCTGCACTTGAATACTCCCCTAAGAAAAAGTAGATAACTTGCTGCCCCAAAGTGCAGGTTGCAAAGGGCTGAAATCTGAAGAATATAATCAGCTAAAATATGAGAATCACGGCTCTCCAGTATAAACTGGAATGTAATCACTAAAAATAAATAAAATGCAAGTATCACAGTATCCAAAGTAATCAATCACATAACTGACCCAGAACCACACCTTAGCTGAAACGGGCCGAGTCCTTAAAATGCAGATTAGAGACCCCTCCGAGGGCTCAGACACTTCATCTCCTCTTCCACTCTCCCCAGCGCCTAAGATTCACAGATCTCTGCACAAAGGGCAGTAAGTTAAAGGTCAAAGTTATACCTCGCCTCCGGCTGCAGTGGGCGGAGTCACAACGCCACACAGGCTCTGACTGGGTAATTTTACAAAGTGCTACAGAAGTGCTGACTACTACATACTTTTTGTAACCTAGCAAGTAGAGGGAACATATTGGGGTAAGAGAGAAGACCAATTAGAAGAGCAGAAAACAGCTCTGATAAAGACGGCAGAATTATTATAAAATTAAAACATCGCAGTCTGGGTCTCTGGAAGCAAATTTGGTTTAAGCCGAGGAGCAACGGAGCACGTTATTCCTCAGTCTTGTACACGGATACTATCCACCGCCGATTCCAAAGTGCATTCCCCAGCGCTCTCCACAGAGCCTTCATCGGGCCCTGGGGGCTGCTGGAATTTAAAAACGAGTTAACTGAGGCGCGGCCCAAAGACACTCGTTCGTTGGGGGAGTGAAGACTCACGGGCCAAGTCCAGGCATTTCGGCTACAAGGGGTAGGGAAGAGGAGGAAATTCCACCGGCGTCCCTGGGACGCGGGTGGCGCCGGCCGGCGCTTGCACCCAGCGCGGGCAGCAAGCGGGCTTAGCGCGCTGCCCACCCGGCGGCTCACCTGCGCAATGCCCGCGCCCATCAGCCCGCCGCCGATGACCGTCACGTGCTTGACAATGATTTTCTTCGCCGAGGCCGAGGCTGAGGCCGAGGAGGACACGGAGCGCAGGAACTGCCTGGTCACGAAAGCCATGGTGCGGAGACGGAGGCAGAGACACAACCGGGCAGCGAAGGCTCGGCGGGGACAGGCGCGAGCGGCGAGGAGGGTTGTGCGCGCGGAGGCCCAGCAAGCCCTGCCGCCCCACGCTCCCGGCGTCGCCGCGGCGTCATCGGGGCCGGGGCGGGGACTCGCGGCCCGCCTCTCCTAGTACCCGGGCGGCGGAGGCGGGGTCGGACCGTCCGCGCGCAGCTTCCGGGCCCACGTGGGCTGCAAGCCGCGGGCTGGCGGCGAGCGAACTTGCGGCGGCGCGGCGCCCGGCTCTCCGTGGTCCGACTGCCTGTCGGCCCTTCCTCGGAAAAGCCCCGAGGCCCTGCTACGCCGAAGTGTAGGCGTTGCCTTGTTAAATCCTCGCCTTTGGTGCTTGTGCATATCTCGGCGCTGAATACGTTTCATTTGGCTTTGGTCATCATTTTAATCCTCTGGATATTGATTGTTTCTGCCAAGACGGAAGGAAACAAACTGCTCACGCCATAACACTTGTCTAGTGACCATGAGATCCGATGCAAAGATCAGGCCCGGAGAAGGGAAAGGGCGTTGACCTTTAGTTAACCCACTTCAGTGTTAGATCTTTAAGTGGTCGTGTGAATAGTTAAAGGTCTAACAGCAACTTCTGTGAAGTAACAGGTAAAAAGTATGGGAAAGGAATGTCTCTCAAGTCATGGAGACAAATGTTATCAACTAGGCCAATCTTGTCAATGTTGTGAATAAATGTTAGTTACCGTACCTTAGTGATACAGAATTTTTTAATTTACTTTATTTTTGAATATATAATAAGGACCCACAAACTCACCATCCAAACAAAAGTCAGCCTCTCCTGTCAGAATAACCATCATGGTAAATGCCGCGTCTACCATTCATTTGCTTTGATTTCATTTTTATATTTAATTCCATAAAAATATAGGAGAAGTGCTGGTCCTGAGCTCGCTGTTAGGTTTGGGACAATACTAAGAAAATCAATACTGGCTGAGGAGGCAGTGTTAACATTCCTCCTCAAAGGGTTATTAAAGCCCTTTGAATACTAGAATGTAGCAAATGCAAAAACCTATAGGACTAGAAATGGAGACTATTACAGAGAAACCTAGTAGCTGAAAGAATGAATCCATTTATAAAGAAAAGAGAATACTGGGCAGAGGAAATAACACATGCAGGGGTAGAACTGTAAGAAAATATTTCCAGAGGAAAAAGAGGAATTAAGTGTGGTGAGAGGTGAAGTTAGGATGGTAGACTAGAAGGATGCACACATGATTCCTTCAGTGGATTTTAACTGTTAGTTCTCACAAGTTGTGTGTAATGCAAGGCCAAACGTATTCCCATAAGAGTGTTGTCACAATGAACACTTTATTAAAATGTGTGTAAAGTAAAACAATGCCAAGTGTGCTACGTTTTCAGATTTGTGATGTTTTCCTCAGGAAAGAAAGAATAACCACTGCCATATTTTTCATGATTCTCAGATCTGAGGTTGTATTATCTAAAGGGGACCCTATAGAAAGGATCAATGGAGGGAGAGTTACAAGGCCTGGCTCTGTCACTGGTGTGTAGTAATACTGTCTGCAGACACTTAACCTCCCTAGACTCCAGAGTCCCTGTAAAAAAAAAAAAATGTTGGATAGTTACCTTTCCAGCTGTTTCATGCTGAGAGTCTAAGCCCAGTTTACAGCCTTCTGAAGCAGAAGGGCCACCCTGCCCCCTACTCCCGCCCAGTCCTGATCACATGACCGTTACAATAGAATCATTCTTCTTTTGCCCGGACAGCCAGTCTTTTCCCAAGTGTGGCCTTGGGCTTTAAGGTGCCCACTAACGAGTTCTGTGGTACTTCACTTGCATCTTTTGCTTGTTCTTGGGGTCGTCCTTCATTTCTGTCTGCTGAAAGTGGTGTACTGGGAGGCATGACCCTAGTCACTGAGCCAACTCAAAGACATCGAAGGAAAGGACTGGCCTGAGAATGGAGTAAGTGATGATTGCTTTTATTTTCATCTCATAAATGGGTAATTGTAATACTTAAAAAATAGATGCCAAAGAAGCATTATTTGAAAACAAACATGGCTGTGGGCTCTGAGAGTGGCAGAAGCAGGAAGTGCAGTAGATGCTTTGCCACCAGCAAGGCACCAATGGACAGAAAGTATCAAAGCCTTTCTAGTCACCCTGCGCTGTCAAGTAGACAGGCGGTGGGTGAGCAGACACTCAGTCTTCCTGCCATTGTGCATCAGAAATCCACCAAAGGACAGGGTCTGTTTACAATCAGGAGCACTAATGGAGACAGGATTCATTAACTAAGTTGGAATTTTCTTTCTATTTGTGGGAAATTAATGGTTTCTGGCTTCCTGGGAAAAGTGTGAAAAATAAGTGCTGCCTGTCCTGTTTGGTTGAGCAATTCTTAGATTTCATATGGCAGAACACCAGAAACTATTGCTGCCCAGGGTGGCACAATAGCAAAGCCCAGAAAATTCAACCAAAAGCTCACCTACTGCAAAATTAATGAGAGTTGACATTGCCATGCTTGTCAGCAGTGTTTTCCAGGAAATAATTACACAAAAATTTGCAAAATCAAGACATAGCTAGTTTGAGAAGGGCACAGTCATGTGTTTGCATAGCCTACTGAAAGATGCTCTCAGAATGACTTACAAAACATACAAGGCAAAATCTCTAATACCACTGAACCATATTTTACAAGTTATTTTTAGGAGCTTTTAGAAAAAAATCTATCATGGTAAACTTTAAAATATATGTTTTGGCTTTTATCGTGCTACCAGTAAGTCATCCCAATACCAGCTGCTCTCTACCTTTATTTTCTCCTCTGCTTGCAAAATTCATTAAGTACTCATAATAAGCCTGCTTGGAAAGGTACTAATGGTACCCCTCTTTTACAGGTAAGGAAACTGAGGCTGGGAGGGGATCAGAAACTTAGTTGAGGTTACACAGTTTCAATGAATGGCACAGGCAGAATTCAAACCCAGGACAGTCTGTTTTCAGGGCTTATGTTCTTGACTGCTATGCTGTTTTGCCTCACTTCATAACAACCCTGATGCTACCACTGCTATCCTCCTCTACAGGTGAAGAAACCAGGGTTCTGAGTAGTTAACTCATTTCTTAAATGTAACTCACCTAATAACCGACCAGGCTGAGATGTGGACCCACTTTGACCTCAAGTCTCCTGCTCCTTTCATAATTTCATGGTACTTAGAAAGTGCTCTTGCTGCTAGATGGAAAAAAAAAATGGTATTGGTCTCCAGTAAACATTATATATGTCTAAATTTGGAGTTTTCACTATTAGACTAATGTTATCATAAAAGTTAAACAGATTAATTTATTTAGACATCCTTACTAATTAACCCCAGAGCTGCAAGTTTCACATAGTGATCCCCAACGTTCATACCTGAAGACTCTAAAAGCTGTGTTTTATACCATCCTGATTTCTGTCATGTAGACTCACGTTACTCAAACACAAATATCCATTTTTAATTGTCTTCTGATCACCTCTACTTGGAAATCCCTCAGCTTTGTCAAGTGTAACATCAAAATTTAAATCTTTCATTTCCCAAATGCCTTCTACCTCTTCTTGCATTAGCTTTCGCAGCTCATGCTGACCCCCAGTAAGAGCATTCTTCTTCCACCTCACCATCACATTCTAATTGATCAAATGCCACTGATTCCGCCTTAGAAATGGCTTCCTCCCTCATCCCCCACCTCAGTCTGTCCCTAATTATTGGCATTTTATTTTAGCCCACATCTCCTGTGTAGAGGGTGCTCCCATTCCCTGTTGCTAATGTCTCTTCACTCTAGTTCATACTTCACATTCTTCTCAAACTGATTCTCAGGTTATAAATTGGATCACTAAACTCCCCTCTTTTAAGAATGTTATCCACAGCATAAAGACCAAAGTTTGAATTCTAAGTCCAGGCCCCAACATTATAAACTCATCTATTTCCTTCTACTCCTTTATGAGTACCTTAAATTCTAGCAGTAAAGATCCAAAGTTGCTTTTCCTAACTTCTAAATTATCTGTCATAAAGATCCAATTGCCAACTTATTTACAAATAAGATAAAGGCTAAATTATGTTTTGATTAACTATTTTTCTCAGGCACTTTCAGAGCCAGGTATTTAAAGACAGCTGATAGTGACTCTTTGTTTTACTTTTAAAATTAAAATTGATTGAGTTTAGAAATAACAAATAAGTTCTTTATTGCTTTATGTGATCAAGAAACATATTGTTCTAGGTGCTGGAAAAATCAGAGATGACTAGAATGTGGTCTTTGCTCATCAAAGGCTCATAATGCAATAGGAGAAATAGGCATAGAAATAAGTCATGGCAGCAGTGTTTTAAGTACTTTCCAGAGGGAAATGTGAGGAGTTGTGGAGGTGGCTGGCTGTGAGGGGACAGGGTATCACAAATGTAACAAGCAACATTTAATGAATGCTCAATTTGCCAGACTCTGTGGTAAGCATTTCACATGTATTTTCTCACCCACTCCCATCAGTCTTATGAGGTATGTCACTATTTCTATCCTCATTTTACCTATGGGACAACGGAGGCTTAGAGAGGAAAATAACTGGCCTGATGTGTGGTAGGTGGGAGGTATAGAGCCTTTTCTTGAGCCCTGGTCTCAAGGAGCGCAATGCTACTGCTCTTAACCAGTATGCTAAATGACTTTCATCATGATAGAGATGTTACAGCCAAGCAATGAGGATAATTAGAAGGTTTTCAAGCAGAGAAAGAGTTATAAGGACATTCCAGACAGAGAAAAATGTATATGTACACTGGGAAGGAACAGAGAATAGAGAGTGGTCTGAAAATACAATCAATGGACAATAACCAGCACTGGGTGAATGAAGACAAGACTGAAAAGGGAGGCAGGGACCAGGTCAGGGTGGACCTTTTTTTGAGAGTCATGAACACAATTACATTAACATTTTTTATTAGAAATAATTAAAAACTTAGAGAAAATTTGCAAGAATAAGAATAGTGCAAAGAATATCATGTCATCTGCAAATAGTGACAGTTTAACTTCTTCTTTACCAATTTGGATTCCTCGTATTTCTTTGTTTTGTCTAATTGCCATAGTTAGGACCTCCAGTACTATGTTGAATAACAGTGGGGAGAGTGGGCATCCCTGTCTTGT